TTTGCAACCGCAATGTCTGCATCAGGGGTTCTGAAAAGATCCATATGCCACATGCGTGCTGTTTTTGCTGGCAGGATGTCAATCATTTTGAAGCGAACCTGCGCGGCTTAAACAAGCTGCGCTGCGGGCTGGCAAAGCAGCGCCAGACACGGACAGATATTATTATTAGTATAATTAGTATTATTATTNNTATTATGCAATGAGATTTTTCTTACGTTACCTGACCACCCGGAAATCGACATTATCTAAATTATTCATACTATTTACAGTACTAGACTTGTAAAAGTAGTATCCAACCACCTGGAAATTTGAATTTTGTGTAGATTTGTTCTGAACCATTTAAATATGTTTTTTACTGCAGAAAGCTTGTGACTCATCAGCTTGTATGACTTAATCTGAGCTCAGACTTGTTGTTTCATACAACGTTCGACGGGATCCAAGACTTGGGCTCAAAGGCTAGGCAAAAGCATGCCCGAGGTCCCACAGAACATCAGGAGCTGCTCCGAGCAGAGTCGAAATTATCTCTACTATTAGACTTTTCGTGGTACCGGAACACCCGGAAAAATCTAAATTAAAATGCTAATACTATTTAAACTGCTAGGTGTTTTCTGCGGTACCCAACTACCTGAAATTCTACTTCTGTAGATTCGGAAAATAAGTTTCTTTCTCTAAAGATTGCATAATTTCAATCAATGTAGTTTCCGGACCTGTATCAATCAACAACGAACCATAGCAGCAACCAGAATAAGAATGACAGAAACCGTGTGCGTGTGGCATGCTACAAGTAGAGACCCGAAACACCACACGAGACCCTGTAAGACTAGCTTCGCAGCTGACTCTTTCGGGGGCAACAGTTCGGGGGGTCTTGGCTTGAGGGTTCCCGGTCCGGCACTGCAACTTCATGTGTGCCCATGCGATCCGTCAGAGCCCGGAGCGCACGCTCCAGGTTGGCGTTCTGAATGCTCTGCCTTGCTCCCGTTGTTTTGGGTTTAGGACCCAAAGCTTGGGTTCTCACACACGGACACTTTAGGGCTCAACGGTTCGGCTTTTCAAAACATCGTGATGGTCGTTGTTATTCCAGTTTGTGCTGCGCTGGCTGGATTACTACTACCAAGAGCATCATGGGCGCTGAGGGCTCTTTACTTGAGCTACTACCACCACAATCGTGCAACTGTTGCCTCGATTCGGTCACAAACGAAGATGAGTGTGAACATCATCACGGTATGTTGCTTGACGGCTGTAGCTGCAGTTTGTTGCTAGGTGCATCGACCACTCTGAGAACTCTAAACCAACGCACTGTATCAGAACCTAGGTATCTAATGGCTACGAAAACTTGCGGCCAGATCAGGCTCGAAGACACAACTGCCAGAAAGACATCAGCAAACATGTCGCTGCTTGTTCTTATTGCAGTCCTCGCTTGAGGATCGGGACTACTTTATGAATAGGTCCGCTACATGTAACCCGGCCATGAAATACGCTTCTACATCCGGAGGCCCTAACACCTTGCATCCCCTAGGCCCCTGAAAGAAACACGAACACACAGAGTTGCAGCTTCGGCGACTGCTGTATCAGTGCGAAGAGACCCTGCACCAGCAGCCTAAGTTTGGTGTTGGCATTTTGTAGGGTTGAAGCCTCTGGACATTTAGAGCTGCAGGACTTGAGGATTTCAAATTACCGGTTCAGGGGTTTCGGCGCTCATACTCGGACAATCCAGGCGAGCATGAGGTCGAAGCAAAGTTTAGCTTATGAGAGTTGGTGTTTCGTTGTCCTGTCCCGTCATGTCCCGTCAGTCTGAAGTTCAGGGGTTAAAGGCTCTGGGAATTCAGGGAGTATGAGTGCTGATCAGGGTCCTGCTTTTGGGGGTGATGTGCTTGCTGCTGCCTTTAAATCGGGTATTGAGTGGAGTCAATTGAAAATAGGATCCGGAGTCAGCACATTTTCCAACAGCGCCCAGCTGACAGAGTCGGGTAGCAAGGATGTGCCACATACGGTTTCGGCGCTCACACTCCGACGAGCCAAGCGAGGTTATTGGCGGGTAGTCGGGTGAGGTGAAACACTTACAAGAATGTCCCAAGTTCAGAAACCCACATACAGTTAGGGCCACGGCATCTGGGATTTTGCTGAACGCATGGCTTTGAGTTGAACTCGAGTGTTGAAACTTATGCTTCCAGCTCGCCACGGCTGCGGCCGAGTGGCTGCTGGTTCTGGACCAGGAGCTGCTGGCTCTGCAGGCCTCAAAGTCTTTTTCTGGGTAGCTGTATGCTAAAGTAGGCTGGCCCTCCCGGATTCAGCCTCTGGCCTAGGGGAGGGGAGGAGGGGAGGGGAGG